ACCCGGGCAAAATTCAAAATTTCCTACCAACGAAAAAGTATTAGGTGTGTCCCGCGCGCTCATATGACCTTATGCAGTTGCGAGCGCCGTAAAACCCTATACTAAACAACAAACAAAACAAACAAACAATTTTACAACAGCTATTTTTATTTGATGAAACGAAAAAAAGCTTTATTGATGAAAGAGAATATTCCTAATTGACACATTTCTTCATCACCAGAACCGCTCTGCTGAGGTGGAGGATGACTTGGACGACGACGCCATGGATACCACGGCCCGACCATCAACAGGAGGTATTTGTCTGAAGAAATGTAAGGTTATTGCTCTTTAGCTCAATAAAATGTTTGAAAAATCTGTGTGTGGTAATTACGTTTACAAATTGTCTCTATAGCAATATAGAATACATACTCAGTTTATAAAGAAAACCCCAATATATTGCTATTTGTCATTGTCGATGGGTGAGGATGCCAGTGGCAGGGCCTTCTTTTTTCCTTTCCCTTGTTTTTTGTTCCTACTTTTAATAATCATTATTGCATTGACGAGCTTCTCGTTACTGGTACTAAAAAAAGTTTAATAACTAGTTTGACTTCTAACGTATTTTCTCAGAAAAACGGCACCCACATGAGAAGCCAACAGCGAGTGGTCTGCTGCTCCGATTTCCGTCTCTCACACTCAGACTTAAAGTGACGCAGTGGGGCTGTAGAGATAGTCAAATAGCTTGATAGGGAGCTAGGTGGATAGGTTAGAGTCAGAGTAGAATTTTGTAGGTGTTGCCATGGCCATGGCGGGAGGTAGTTGAGGTGGCAGTGTAGGTTTGGTTGTTTTGTTTTTTTAGGGGGGTAGGAGGTAGGACGGGAAGGGTGGCTGGGGTAGAATGGTGTGGGTAGAGCTTCCTGCTGATCTTGAGTTTGAGTGAGGTTGTTGAAGTGGCATGTATACTGGATTGCTCCTTGAGGTTTGCTGGTACAGCACTGTATCGACATGGATTTTCATCACCAGGACCACTTGCTGATGCGGAGGACAATCTAAAAGAGGTATTTGTCGGTGAAGTAATGTCTTGGAAGATTATTTGTTTATTAGTTCAATAAAGTTAGAAAAATACCTGTAAGACTGAGTTCAATGTAAGTTTTGTTTTTTAATTCACATAAAACTGGAACATGGTAAAATGTATTTAACGACAGATTTTTATAAATGACCTTCTGTCCTTTAAATCAAACGTAAACAATTTTACAACTGCTCTTTTTATTTGATGAAACAAAAGAATAAGCTTTATTGATGAAAGAGGATATTCCTAATTGACACATGTTTTCATCACCAGGACCCCTCCGCTGGAACGGAGGATAACCCGGACAACCAAAAGGATACCACGACCGGACCATCAACAGGAGGTATTTGTCTGTGAAGTAATGTGTGTTGGAAGATTATTTGTATATTAGTTCAATGAAATAAGAAGAATGCCTATCTATGGTACTGAGTTAAGAATAAAGGTTATATTTTTTTTTATTCAGATAAAACCGGAAAATGATAAAATATTTACTGACAGATTTTAAAAAATAACTTCCGTCCTTTTAAACAAACTATAAACAATTTTATAATAACACTTTATCTGATGAAGCAAAAAAATTCAACATGATTGATGAAAGAGGATATTCCTAATTGACACATGTTTTCATCACCAGGACCCATCTGGTGGAGCGGAGGATGACCTGGATGACGACCAAAGGATACCACGGCCGGACCATCAACAGGAGGTATTTCTTAATGTGTCTTGGAAGGTTATTTGCTTATTAGCATATTAGAATATCTATCTATGGGACTGAGTTAAATGTAAAAGTTTTATTTGTTTAATACAGATAAAACCGGAAAATGATAATATATTTGGCGACAGATTTTTCAAAATGACTTTCTGTCCTTTTTTAACCCACTGTAAACAATTTTAAAACGGCTGTTTATTTGATGAAACAAAAAAAAAGCTTTATTGGTTTGAGGTTATTCCTAAATTACGCATGTTTTCATCACCAGGACCCCTCCGCATGACCCGGATGACGAACCAAAGGATACGACGGCCGGACCATCAACAGGAGGTATTTGTCTCTGAAGCAAAGTGTCTTGAAGATTATTTGCTTATTAGTTTAACAGAATTAGAATATCTATCAATGGGACTGAGTTAAATGTAAAAGCTTTATTTGTTTAATTCAATTAAAAACGGAAAATTAAAAAATTTATTTAGATTTTTTATTGACTTTTTGTCCTTTTCAACCAACTGTAAACAATTTTAAAACAACTCTTTATCTGATGAAACTAAAAAAAACCTGATTGATGAGAGAGGGTATTCCTTGATACGTTTTCATCAACAGGACCCCTCTGCTGGAGCGGAGGATGACCTGGAGGACGACGCCAAGGATACCACAGCCGGACCATCAACAGGAGGTATTTGTCTGTGAAGTAATGTCTTGGAATAATTTTATTTTTTCATTAGCTAGAAAAAAATTTAGAAAAATACCCATGGGATTGAGTTCAATATAAGTTTTGTTTTTTAATTCACATAAAACAGGAAATATAAATGACCATTCGTCCTTTTAAAATAGCAGTAAGCTATTTTATTACCGCTCTTTTTATTTGATGAAACAAACAAAAAACCAACCCAACTTTATTAATGAAAGAGGATATTCCTAATTGACACATGTCTTCATCACCAGGACCCCTCTGCTGGAGCGGAGGATGACCTGGACAACGACGCCAAGGATACCACGGCCGGACCATCAACAGGAGGTATTTGTCTATGAAGTAATGTGTCTTGGAAGATTGTTTATTATTTCGATGAAATTAGAATTCCTATCTATGGGACTGAGTTAAATGTAAGTTATATTTTTTCATTCAGATAAAATTGAAAAATGATCAAATGTATTTACTGACAGATTTTTATTAATAACCTTCTGTCCTTTAAACCAAACGTAAACAATTTTATAACAACTCTTTACTGATGAAACAAAAAAATAAGCTTTATTGAAGGAGGATGTTCCTAACTGACACATGTTTTCATCACCAGGACCCCTCTGCTGGAGCGGAGGATGACCCGGACGATGACACTAAAGATACCACGGCTGGACCTTCAACAGGAGGTATTTGTGAAGTAATGTGTCTTGTAAGGTTATTGCTCATTAGCTCAATAAAATGATGTTTGAAAAATCTGTGTTTGGTAATTATGTTAACAAATTGTCTCTATAGCAATATAGAAAACATTCTCAATATATTATTATTTGTCATTGTCGATGTGTGAGGGTGCCAGTGGCAGGGCCTTCTCTTTTCCTTTCCCCTGCTTTTGTGTGCCTGTCTTGTATTAATTTGTTCCTACTTTTAATAATCATTATTGCATTGATGCGCTTCTCTTTACTCGAACTCAAAAAAGTATAATAACTAGTTTAACTTCTAATGTATTTTCTCAGAAAGACGGCACCCACATGAGAAGCCAACAGCGGGTGGTCTGCTGCTCCGATTTCCGTCTCTCACACTCAGGCTTAAAGTGACGCAGTGGGGCTGTAGAGATAGGCAAATAGCTTGATAGGGAGCTAGGTGGATAGGTTAGAGTCAGAGTAGAATTTTGTAGGTGTTGCCATGGCCATGGCGGGAGGTAGTTGAGGTGGCAGTGTAGGTTTGGTTGTTTTGTTTTTTTAGGGGGGTAGGAGGTAGGACGGGAAGGATGGCTGGGGTAGAATGGTGTGGGTAGGGCTTCCTGCTGATCTTGAGTTTGAGTGTGAGGTTGTTGGAGTGGCATGTATACTGGATTGTTCCTTGAGATTAGCTGGCACAGAACTGTATCGACATGGATTTTCATCACCCGGACTCCTCAGGAAAACCCCACTGGAGGTATTTGTCTTTGAAGTAATTTTTCTTAGAACGTTATTAGTTGATTATTACTGTAAAATTTAAAAAAATATCTATTGAGACGTCGGAGTTTGATGTAAAAGGTTTATTTTTGCATTTAGATGGAAAGGGAAAATGATGAAATGTATAAATTTTACTAACAGACTTTTATAAATGTCCTTGTGCCCTTTTAATCAGTACCAACAAAGGCAGTTATTTGGAAGATATGTATATTGAACTTAAATTACCAAATTGTCTCAGTAGGACCATAAGACAATACACATTCAAAAACTACCATTATATCTTATTTTGGGTGGGTTGAGGGTGCCAATGTCAGTTCTTTCTTTCTTTTTTCTTTTTCTCTGTAGCTTTATTTTATGTGCGCTAAGTGACCACTGTTGCATCTTTGTTGTCATTACTCAAATTTAGTAGCTCAAATTCACTTTTTTCCTCCTTAAACAGCTGCCTAGCCAACAGTTGACAGACCCCCAAGAAGACAGGTAGGGCCTTCCACTCACCCTGGATGGTAGCATCACCCTTCTGCCCATGAATTCCAGCCAAATGAGAGTGCTGTGCTAGCATGATCAAATTGTGTCGACAGCACTGTAACAAACAGTTTTTCAATCAGTCAGTCAAGTACTAACAGACAATTGCCAAGCTTCTAGAATCCCGCCAGCAGACAGCTACTCAACTCCTCCAGATAACTTCCCCGGACAACAGCGAGATACCTAGACAGTTTTACCTCTCTTATGTGAAACTATGCTGATAGTGCCGAAAAAAAACTAGTAAAGACTCAAGAAAACAATGTTCCTTGTATGATGTCCAGCTGGAGACTTTGTAATGAAGCCACTTAAATACGAGGTCGCTGATTTAAAACGATAAGACATCTTGTTCCGTACTCTCAGTACAAACTTTGGTGACATCAGAAGGTCAAGCCACTTTTCTGGTCAATCAGGTGGGAAGAGCTGCCTGCTGCTTTGAGGTTGTTGGGAGTGAATTTTGTATACTGAAATGTTCCTTGCAGTTTGTTGGTGCAGTAAATAAATGTCCAACCCCACGTTATTGACCCTCAGGACTCATGTCTTGATCTTTAGTCCGACCCACTTTGTTTTCACCTTTCGTCCGACCCCACATTATTGACCCTCAGAACCCATGTCTTGACCTAGCTCCAATCCCTCTTGGTGATCCCAAAGAACTTTACCTTTAGTCCGACCCCATATTTGTTTTTACCTTTAGTCCGACCCCACGTTATTGACCCTCAGGACTCATGTCTTGACCTTTAGTCCGACCTCACGTTATTAACCCTCAGGACTCGATGTCTTGATCTTTATCCAACCCGTAGTTGTTGACCCTCAGGACTCATGTCTTTACCTTGCTGCGATCCCTCTTGGTGACCCTAAAGAAATTAATCTTTAGTCCGATCCCATGTTTCTTTTTATCTTCAATCTGACCCCCCGTTTGTTTTTATCTTTAGTCCAACCCCACGAAATTGACCCTCAGGACTCTGTCTTGACCTTTAGTCCGATATCTCTCTAGGTAACCCTAAAGAACTTGACCTCTAGTGACTTTAGTCCGATCCCGCAGCCACATTTGTTTTTACCTTTTGTCCGACCCCACGTTTGTTTTTACCTTTTGTCCGACCCCACGTTGTTGACCCTCAGGACTCTGTCTTGACCTTTTGTCCGACCCCACGTTGTTGACCCTCAGGACTCTGTCTTGACCTTTTGTCCGACCCCACGTTTGTTTTTACCTTTTGTCCGACCCCACGTTGTTGACCCTCAGGACTCTGTCTTGACCTTTTGTCCGATCCCACGTTTGTTTTTACCTTCAGTCCTACCCCACGTTATTGACCCTCAGAAATCTGTCTTGACCTAACCCCGATCGTCCGACCCACATTGTTTTCACTTTTAGTCCAACCCCACGTTATTGACCTTCAGGACTCATGTCTTGACTTAGCTCAAACTCTTCTAGTTGAACCTACGGAACATATCCTTTAGTCAGACTCGTGTTGTTTTTTTCCTTTAGTCCGACCGTTAATCCTTAGGACTCATGTCCTGACCTATCTCCGATCCCTCTTGGTGACCCTAAAACCCAGAAATTAAACTTGAAAAAAAAAACAACTGAATCAGATTTTGTTTGCCATATATATGTTTGTTCATGTAGTATGTGCTTGTGTGTAAGATATGGCTGTTTTGGAATCTATTTATAAAAATACATGTGAATGAAGGAAAATAACAAGTCCACCACCGTGAAAGCCTTTTCACAAGTATGGAGTTGGCAGGGGCCCTGGTCTGTCTGTCTGTCTGTCTGTCTGTCTGTCTGTCTGTCTGTCTGTCTGTCTGTC